TAAAAATTCAAGAAAAAAAGTTCCATCATTGATTCCAAAACCTACATACTAAGAAATTACATGATCAATAAGAACACAAGATGAAGATTGAATATTTCTTAATAATTGCTATAGAAATTCAAGCAGTAGGATAAGAAGCTTTCACGGCAATGCCACAAAGGCCTTGCCTATGATGCACATCTCTTTGAATTCTTACATATCCACCCTCACCCCACTCTGCACCCCATGAGACTCGTTGGTTGGTACATCTTCATAACCTGTGATCTTTGCTGCATGATATGCTACCTTTTTCTTGTTGCAAATTCCATCAACTCCTCTATAGGGGTAGTTTGCTTCAGCTGCCAGGCCTTTGTTGCGCATTACAAACTTAAAGGCATCATCCATGAGACCACCCTCACAGCCTTGGTTCTCTCCCTAAGTGTCACAATCCACTATCTCTTGCTCCGAAAGAGACACGAGCTTCCCACTTTTCAGCTTTGTAGTGCCTTCTGTGGCTGCTACTGCAGAAAATGCCCAACAGCATCCTATATACCATATCACAATACAAGCCCGAGTTAGAAAAGATTAATGTGAACCACATAGTTGAAAACAAAAATTATGATGAGGGTATTAGTGATTTTGGCTAATTACCACATTCACCCTGGTCCTTGATGGGGGTGACAGCTCCCTTTTTTCTCCAATCCATGCTGGATGGGATTGCAGTCATGTTCTCATATCTAAAAGGTGTCTTAGATGACATGGGATTGAGGGATGTTCTGTATCGGTTGCGAGAGGCTTGGAATTCTTCCTAACTCTGGTCTGCATATCCATTGATGTTTAGCTTGCAAGGCTGATTGCTAGCATAGTTGAAGGACTCTATGAACTCCACATTGTCCTTGAATATCAGTAAACGCTTTCTTTTCCCTCTCTTCATCGTCCTTGTAGATGCGTCCATATCAAGCCATCCACTGCTCATGTCTATCTAACATGGAAGTATGAGCATCAAGCAATGTGCGGCAGTTGGCTTGGGGAGCCCACACCCCCAAGACTAAAAGTGTCAGTAGAATAGATGATGACTTTCTAAGTGTGAAAGCCATTATTTACTGGTTGAGGATGATGGAAGTTGAGGTTCCATCCCAAAACCAATTGGCAACAGGGGGAGTAACCCAACTCCTTATAAGCCCTTGCTAGGTTTCTCAACTTTTCAATGTGGGACTCTTTACTTTCACAGAGGATTTGTGTGAAATGAATTTTGTTTATGCTTATGCTTATAGAAACAATCATGTAGTATCTAGCAGGCACACATTTTATCCCTCAAGAGATCTAAGTATATATAGAAGATCTCGGGATCTCGATCCGGCAATCTGTGGTGGCTTTGGCAACCAGGTTGCATTCCGGATATGTTGGCATGTTAGCGAGGGAAGTTTTCTTCTGCGGTTGATTAGGACTGAAGATAATTATATGCTAGTACTGTTTCACTATACTGAGATAGTCTTGGAAGTAGTTAGTCGAAGCATAAATGTTTCGTTTTGGTTGCTGAACCTGAAATCTAATGTGTGTTTGTACATCTTGCATCCCTTTTTCTCCGTACCCTTTACATGGAAATTGATAGGACAAAGCACCCAAGAGCTGTTCTCCCATTTCTCCTTCACATCAGTAATAGGTAATAAATTTTATTTTTGTTCACCCTATGGTAGAGGTATATTACATACTCTTGTAGATGTATTATCCTATGGTGTAGGTATATTGTTCTATTGCCTATTGCATAGGTATATATGTATTTTTCATATTTTCGACAACATGTAATAGTATTTTATGTACCTTTTTTTTTAATAAGTAGCATACAATTTTTATTTGTCTATTTTTTTGTATCTAAATTATAGGTAGTCTTCTAATTTATGTTCCTAACTTATAGGTAGTCTTTTAATTTATGTTCTTGACTTATAGGTAACACAATTTATCACCAAATTTTTTCCATTGCTAATAATAACACTTTTTACCTGTATGTTAGGTACATAATTTCATGTGGGTGCTTGCTTGAATAATTGGTATAATATGTGGGTTTTTACTATCATTAATTAAATTATATTTTATCCATATATTAGGTAAATATTATCAAGGAAAGAATTCAAAATTTAAATTCTAAAATTCAATTACGAGGAAATAATGCATTAAATTTAGATTTTCAATGTGTTTTCTTTATTTACCCCAATGGGTAACATCGACCAAAAAAAAAGAAGAAGAAGAACTCAAAAGACCTACATCTAAAACCAAAAATGTGTGGACTAAACTCAAGCTAATTATTTTGGACCTAGATCTAAGAACCCCTTTTATTTATCGCATTACATATTACTTATTATATCAATCTAATGCACTGCATACATAGTTTACTACGTAAAAAGGCGCAAAGAACACACTTTTAACAAGGGCTTCAGAGAAACCTGGCGACTAATTGCATGTATTAATTAATGCCATTTGCTTATAATATTATTTTCTGTTTAGAATATAGGGATTCTTAGATCTAGGTCCAAAAAGTTCATTCGGATTGACTCATTTTCTACTTAACTGTCATGAAACACATTTTCAATATTAGGCCATTAGAACTCGATTAATCCTCGTATAGAGTTTGTCATACCTAGCTAGCATATATAAGATGCATACACGTACTTACATATCACTCTATTTTTGTAAAAAGAAAAAGTGCATCAAATTCACTTTAAGCAATTACGCTAACAGGCATAGATAGGCATAAACCAATATAGTCTAAATAGCCAAGTGAGCAGGATATGACAAGGTCTGCAGCCATAGATAGGCATCAACCATATACATGCTATGTGGTTTACACCAGGTATCTTGTTGGCCATTTATATATGATGGTAATTCACATATCAACATCTTTGCAAATTCTCATGTGGCTAGCCAGCCTGTGTTTTAGATTCTTTAAAATAAAATAAAAGAAGAAGCAAGGCTCAATTTCACCTGTATCGATCTATTTAGTAGTTCGAGTGCACTAATGTATTGCCTAAAAATTCAAGAAAAAAAGTTCCATCATTGATTCCAAAACCTACATACTAAGAAATTGCATGATCAATAAGAACACAAGATGAAGATTGAATATTTTCTAATAATTGCTATAGAAATTCAAGCAGTAGGATAAGAAGCTTTCATGGCAATGCCACAAAGGCCTTGCCTAGTATGCACATCTCTTTGAATTCTTACATATCCACCCTCACCCCACTCTGCACCCCATGAGTTTTTGACTAACCAATACTTGGTACCATCAGCACCTTCCCCATACCCAACTACAGTGACACCATGGTTCAAATGAGTTCCACAATCTCCTGTGAGAATCCCACGTGAGTAAACTGGAATTCGTATCCACCGGCGTCAATTGCAACAGAAACAGGTTGATTGGCCACGACCTTCAACAAAGCCAACTCGTTGGCTGGTACATCTTCATAACCTGTGATCTTTGCTGTATGATATGCTACCTTGTTCTTGTTGCAAATTCCATCAACTCCTCTATAAGGGTAGCTTGCTTCAGCTACCAGGCCTTTGTTGCGCATTACAAACTTAAAGGCATCATCCATGAGACCACCCTCACAGCCTTGGTTCTCACCCTGAGTGTCACAATCCACTAGCTCTTGCTCCGAAAGAGACACGAGCTTCCCACTTTTCAGCTTTGTAGTGCCTTCTGTGGCTGCCACTGCAGAAAATGCCCAACAGCATCCTATATACCATATCACAATACAAGCCCGAGTTAGAAAAGATTAATGTGAACCGCAGAGTTGAAAACAAAAATTATGATGAGGGTATTAGTGATTTTGGCTAATTACCACATTCACCCTGGTCCTTGATGAGGGTGACAGCTCCCTTTTTTCTCCAATTCATGCTGGATGGGATTGCAGTCACGTTCTCATAACTAAAAGGTGTCTTAGATGACATGGGATTGAGGGATGTTCTGTATCGGTTGCGAGAGGCTTGGAATTCTTCATGACTCTGGTCTGCAAATCCATTGATGTTTAGCTTGTAAGGCTGATTGCTAGCATAGTTGAAGGACTCTATGAACTCCACATTGTCCTTGAATATCAGGAAACGCTTTTCCCTCTCTTCATCGTCCTTGTAGATGCGTCCGTATCGAGCCATCCACTGCTCATGTCTATCTAACATGGAAGTATGAGCATCAAGCAATGTGCGGCAGTTGGCTTGGGAAGCCCACACCCCCAAGACTAAAAGTGTCAGTAGAATAGATGATGACTTTCTAAGTGTGAAAGCCATTATTTATTGGTTGAGGATTTGTGTGAAATGAATTTTGTTTATGCTTATGCTTATAGAAACAATCATGTAGTATCTAGCAGGCACACATTTTATCCCTCAAGAGATCTAAGTATATATAGAAGATCTCGGGATCTTGATCCGGCAATCTGTGGTGGCTTTGGCAACCAGGTTGCCTTCCGGATATGTTGGCTTGTTAGAGAGCGAAGTTTTCTTCTGCGGTTGATTAGGACTGAAGATAATTATCTGCTAGTACTGTTTCACTATACTGAGATAGTCTTGGAAGTAGTTAGTCTAAGCATAAATGTTTCGTTCGTTTTGGTTGCTGAACCTGAAATCTAATGTGTGTTTGTACATCTTGCATCCCTTTTTCTCCGTACCCTTTACATGGAAATGACCAAAAATAATAATAAGCCAATTAGGCAATTTATGTCCCTTGAAAAGCTAAATAAACTTGGTGTCATCCATTATTTGTTCAAAGAATTGCAGGGCTCTACATACATCAACGTGCTTGAGCCTTCAACGACATTACACATGGGCCTTAACAGACAGCCGTATTAAACACAATTCGCTCCTACGAAAATCAACACTAGTTTAATTATGAAATGACAACTAGGTTTTGGAGAATTGTCTAAGGATTAATTTCTCATTTTCTTTACAAAAAAAGAAAAAGAAAAGAAGAAGGTGCACATAAAGAAATATTCAAATTGCTAACCCTCGTACATGGGCCTTAACAAACAACGGTATTGACGTACAAATGACATGTATATATATATATATACACAAATCATTGAATACATAATCAAGTTCCATGCCCAAAAATGCAGTGACACTGACATTTCAATATTAATTTTTTTTTAAGGTCACGACTATCTAAGTCAATTCTGTACATAACTGGAAAGCACCTTGCGAGAGGTGTCACCGTCTCTGATTCTGAGTGGGCATATAAACTTGCTGCAATTCAATTGAAGTAGGGTTTCAACCTTCAAATAACACCAACAACTTCCCATCTACATCCTTGAACTGAAGATCACCTCACAGTCAAAATAAGCCAGAAAGTGTTCCTGAAATCAAACATAGTCAAATTTTAACATTAGTCACGTAATTGCAGCAAAATCTCCGGAAACATGAACTAGTACTTGATATGGAGAGCTGCTGTAAAAAGATTGATTTGCTGTTGAACTTGTACCTCATGAATAATGAAACTAATGAACAGCCACATGAAAATCACCATGCTTGCTCCTTTTTTAACTGTCATTAGACTACCGCTGTAAGATTTGTACTTGTGTATCTGCCTATCACGTCAACAAGGGCTTGTATTAACGACTTCGGGTCAAATACTACACCAGCTTTTGGATCATGTATAGAATCAACAACGATCTGCAGAAAGTCACTCTCATCAGAGCTTTAATATCCAGGTAACAAAGGAAAGAAAGACATTTGTGGGCATCAAGCACACTAAAAACAGGAAATTGATAGGACAAAGCACTCAACTTAGCCATTATGATGACATGACACTAGAAGCATTATATTTTATAACAAGGTCTTTAATCAAAAGTGCCAAATTACTCTCCATAAGAACTTGAATATCCTAGTCTAGGTTCATGAAAAATATCCAAGAATAGATATTCATCATAGATTCATAGTAAACGTAAAACTTTATAATTCCATTCAAAATTCAACATATATTTCTTTAGTTTATTAGAAGTAACAGAAAGCATTTGGACTCTGTTGAAAGTGGAGTTAAAACTATACATACCACATTAAAGATTCCTTGGGCAGCCAAGCGTTGAACATCTATAGGAATCTCACCACCTTTGGGCACTAATACGGTATTGATGTATTGGCTGGGCTGCATTGAATTACAAATTTGTAATAAATTACATGTTTATACATAAAACAAAAGGAAGCTTTCTTTTTCTTTAACGAGCACCAACAAAAAGAAGCTCCTGCTGCAACCCCAAACCACACCACCCCCACCCCTCCCCCCC